TGTATAAATTCAAGAGCTAGTCTCTGCTGTCTTTGCTCTCATCTCCAAACACAGACTCATTAAACACACATATACACATACCAGCAAGATAAACTTTAGTTCCTTGCCTTTCGTTAATCTCTGTGTGCTTGTGTTTATACCTAATGTGTTTACAGCCACTTATATGTAAGTATTCAAATTTAGGTCAGTAAAGAGAGTGCCATTTCCAACACATCTTTCCCTTAAGGGAAGACTGATCCACTGAGTTATTTTAAAACTCTTCTTGAAGCACAGACAGAAATGATTAGTCTATTTCTAAACAGACAAGAGGCCTCTGAGTTCTGCATTGTTAAACCCACAAAACACATTTATCAAGTTTCATGAAATGCACTTCTTGAATCTCAAATAAAGCAAAAAGAATAACTGATCTTTAATGAGTAATAAGATAGAAGACCTTTAAAATGTACTGTTTTATGTCAAATGGAAGAAAATTTGTCATATCCTAGGAAAAAATTAAAAATATTACTGAATAAATATTAGAAGGCTAGTAAATTTCCATGTTAGGATTCGATTTAATAACTCTCCCAACCTCCTGTCTCTCTGGGTCTGTGTCTCTCTGTCTCTGTCTCTCTGCCTCTTTCTGTCTCTCTCTGTCTCTCTGTCTCTCTGTCTCTGTCTCTCTCTCTCTGTATGTGGGGGATGGGGAGGATAAAGAGTGAGAAAATAGGGAAGAAGGGAAGAGGGAGAAGAAAGAAAGAGGAAAAGACAAAGTAGCTTCATAGAAATGTACTTAGTTGCAAATGACTTTTTCTTTACAAGGACTAGTTGACTTTGTAAACTCAATTTCACCAAAGCAGATATTGTCCTCAGCACAGCACCTGGTATACTCTAATAGGTGTTATTTCTAGCTGCTTTGCCCCCACACTGGGGAACACCAAAGAGAATGCTTCCCTCTTGCCATTAGCTCTGGGCTCTTCTCCGACTCATGAAGACATATTAAAGGAACTAATAATGCACAACTTGAATAAACAGAGACTAAAGGGGAGCAGGATAATTGAGTGCAAGAGTGTGAAAGGTAGGGACACCGAAGAAGACAAGGAATTATTTGGCCTGTAGCTGAATTATTACTGCCAGAAGACACAAAATTACACTAAGCAAAGGGTGATTTAAAACAAACACCAGACACCAGAATAAACATAACACCCATCAGAGTGAGCAAAGTGATTGAGATGTTTAAAATACAAAAATGTTGAAATTGGCATTTTGAGCAAAGTTTATACAGGGCAGACAGTAAAAGATTGGAATGATGGAAAGATCTAAATTGTAGTTACTGGGCAAGTTCTCCATACAACTTAAATGGCAGGTTATGGGCCATTTTCTGCCCAAGAAGTTTTTGAAAGGACAGGAAATGGTGATGGAATCCTTGAGTGCCTTGAGTGGAAAGCAGCTAGACAGGGTGACTGAGAGAATCCATGCCTCCATGGGGAGAAACGCATCAAGTAAAAGAAAAAGCACAGGAGACTATGAGTTGCACTTTAGCATTTCCTGGTTCACAATTCATGTGGTTTATTGCATGTTTTAAAAGAAAGAATTGCAGTTGCTGAGACAAAAGGAACAGCATCTTGTCAGGTTTGTGTCTGCAGGGCTTCAGCTGGTTGCTGAAGCAATGACTCCCCATAGCATTTGCATCCTCAGGTTATAACAGGCAATGCCCCTGTCCAACCTTTAACAGCAGCCTTTACTCTGCACACCAGCAAAATGGTACTCTATTAGGATCATGAAAAAGAAATGAATTTTTATGATGGCTTCCACACTTGGCTCCATTCTCTTAAGCTGTATGAGGTGTTGTAAGCATCTCTAGTACCTGCTTCTCTTGCTTAATTCTCTTCAGTTGTGCTCCAGCCCATCAGGACAGCTATAATTAAAACCTATAGGTGTGTATAAACATCAGGAGCTTGTTTCTCACAGTTGTGGAGGTTGGGGAATCCAAGATCAGTGTGCCTGCATATACATTGCCTGGTGAGGGCTCATTTACTTGTTCATAGAAAGCCATTTGCTGTTGTATCCTTATGAGGGCCCATTCTCATGCTTTATCATCTCCCCAAGACTGTACTTCCAAATTGCATCCCTCTGTACATTGAGTTTCAACATTCAAACTGGTGAAGGGCCAGCTATTAAACCTGTGTCAAGCTATCTCACTAAACATTTATCGACTTCCTAATCTATGGCAAACCTCAGGCAAGTTCACTGGGATGCTATGAGTAAGAGACATCCTAGGAGGCTTACAATCTGGAACTGGAACATTTGATTTCTAGCAATAGAAGACCTATGCTTCCTGTCCTATTACTCTGAACAAACGAGAAATTCTCAAGTGAAGTCATAGATATAGTGTGTTACAGGTAGCCCTCTTGGGGGATTAGGCAGAATATAATAGCAAGAATGCCAGAAACTCCTGAGTTTTAACTAGTGGATCCAGAAGGAAGGAGATGGAAAAAAGACAAGGGCATACAGAGATCATATCCAATATTGCAGATAAGTACCAGACTGGTTGAATGAGGGACACTCATGTACTTTATCATATGAGAGCTTCTCACTCGATGGCAGTCTAGCCAGGTGTTATATTCTGGAACTAGAGGTACCGGTAGAGTGGAGGAGGCTGTTATGGAAGTATAAAGGAATTCTGCCTCCCTCCTGTGTATCATCATGGAAGGAAAATCCCCTCGCCCTTCCTTTTCTGGTAATATTAGGGAAGTTCTTCTGCAGACTTGAGACTGAAAGTTTATCTGGTGGCTACTTTTCAGGAAAAAAATAGACTAATTAACATGTGCACTGTTGTATAAGAATCCCAAACCCCAAATCTGGTAAATATGGCTTTATTTTATTTCATTCTTTGAAGATTTACCCTCAGAGGTTCCCTCTTGCCAAACTAATGAATGGGGCCAAAAGTATCTTTCTCCCACAAGAGGCTAACTTCTTTACGAAAATAAAATGTGAGGAAGAGATCCGTGGACCCTCCTCCTATTTCTTGACACATTGTGGGAATTGAAATGAATGCAGTGTTTCAGCCATTCTCAAGCCTGTGGCAATTCTCATTCTCCTACTGAAGATTCCATACCACTTAAGAATAATGTTTGTGAGTGTGGAAGAGGGTTGAGGGAAAAATCTGAGAACTCTTGTAGTCATTTGAGCACTTCTGGTTATATTGTATCATTTCTTTTAGACCCAATCAAGTGACCTCTCATGCTTTCTACTTATTCCACATTCTACATCTGGGGTATAAGTTCCTGCCTGACTACATGTGAGAAGATGGGGAAGGGAAAACATAGGCAGAAATTAACCATTTGGAAATAATATCCCAAGATATATCTTAGAGCAATGATGTTGCACTTTCAGTACAAACATGTGCTATCCAGTATACACTAAGTCCAAACCAAAAAACTTTATATTATTACTGTCTATTCCCTGTTTGGATTAGTTTTATCAAAGTTTGATGGTTGGCAGGGATTTGACGCTTCTAGTGTTCCAGACAGTTGTGTGATAGACTGTTACCAAAGAGGTCCTATGTTCTGCTGGGAGTCTAGTTAGTAGGCTTGAAGCTTGGTCGACATATCAAAACAATGAATTCATGTCCATGCTGGCTGGATGTTATGTTGATTTGGTCATTAGGGGATTTTCAGGAAAGGAACAGCTTGTGGCATTTGAGCCGAGCCATTAACTGGTACTGTTTAGTGTAGTAAGACGAGGAGCAAGATTGCATCATGGGGGCAGCACTGTTTTAACACCCTTCCCAGCTGCTCTGTGTTAACCCAATGGGTGATGGAGTTGTGAGCTGTGGCAGGTTAGAGATGTAGAATTTATCTGAAATCCACAGACCAGTTTGTCTAAGCTCTAGCTAAGTTCTTTCGGTTGCCCACCCTCATTGTCCACATTCTCTTTCCCCTTTAATGCCCACCTATTTTTTCTTTCAATCTATTCAGAAAAAAGTTTATTTACTCAGGTTCCACATGATAGTTAAAAGGATTTTCTCTCTAGCTATTCTTTATAGAAACAAAAACATCAAATTTTGTAAATTGTTCCATAATGCGACCTCCCATGGGTGTGTAGGTCCCTCTGCCCAGACTTGGTAACATGGTCTATCACCAAGCACACCATCACCTGCCCATTCTCATGCATCTACCATGGCTTGAAAGCCTGGATGGGCCTATAAAACAAAGACAACATAGCTTCAAGACAAGCATTTGCACAGGGTTTAGTTTTAAAGACTTGGATATATTTTCTGTATGTATGTGCGCACACCCATGTAAGTGCCTATAGAAGCCAATGGAAGGCATTGAGTTCTGGGGAACTGGAGTCATAGGTGGTGTGAGCTGATTGGTATACTGGTAATTGAGCTTGAGGCTTAGTGAAAGACCTCTCTTTACTACTGAACCATCTTTCCAGTCCCAGCACATGATTTTTGTGGAAAACAAGATCCACATAATCACAAGACTGGCACTTGCCACAAGCAAGTCATTCTCTTTCTAATAGCTACTTTCATGTAAGAGCATAACTAGTAGTGTAAGGATGATAGCAGTGCTTCATGTATGTCTCTGGTACATCATGTTGTCTCCTGCCCCTACCTGACAGTTATGAAGGTTTGAGCACTGTGGACTATTGTCTTCAGGACAACATTGAAAAGGGACCTGTGTGTTCCCCAGAGTCCCCAAAGGACAGAGTCAGCACTGTTTCTGGGAATGTAACCTGGCATCATGACCTTGTTTGGCTTCATTCTCTTTCAGCTCCCATTTTTTGGGTCCTCTACCTGTTTTGCCTCAGAACACTTCCCACTTAATCATGCTCAGAAGAGACTTTCTCTTGGGGTCTCTGGCTATAGAAGTTGACCTCGGACAAAGCATGTTGTCAAATTAATAAAAAGCTGAGCTGATTTATTGCTTTATGAAAAAGGGGGTGGAGAGAAGAAATCTGCAGCATGCTTTAGATTTATAAAAAAAACAATCATGCAATTGTCTGGTTTTTTCCAGGAAGAGAATTTGAAGGAGAAGAAGAATATCTGGAGATCCTAGGCATCACTAGGGAGCAGTCAGGCAAATACGAGTGCAAGGCTGCCAACGAGGTCTCCTCAGCGGATGTCAAACAAGTCAAGGTCACTGTGAACTGTGAGTACAAACAACAGAGGTGTTCCAGGTCCAGGGCAGTCATCTACTTCCAGGGATCTCTGCAGATTCCATTATCAACAGCTCCTAGCATTTCAGTCAGGTGTTCTTCTGGTCAGGCATGCACATTTATACACTGGACACTTCCAAGGGCAAGACTTGGCCTCTGAATTTGATAAATCAACTCTTCTGATTCTAAATATAACTGGCGATACATTTCACAATAGCCTCTGCCTTTTATTCAGACTGTGAAATTAAGAAAACATGATCAGACACCACTCGAATTTCTGGCAGTTGCTGTTGTAGGAGTCTGTGGACACCAAGGTCATATTACTTTGGGAAAAGCAACAATCCCTATCTACTTTAGCTGGAATTTTTATCTTAATGCATTGTTTGTCAGAAGAGAATAGCCCCAAGATTATATTTTATCCTCTGCTATTTAACTAATTGGCCTTGGGAACAAATTCAAGCTCATTTGGTCAGATACTGTGTGTCCCTGATGGCTAACAGGGATGCCTGATAAGTTAATTTTGGTTATCTATTTCTCCTAAAGCCTGGGCATTAGAAATGAAGATTTCACTAAGATGCATAGGTAAGTGGGCATACTTTGAACTTGTCAGATGAAAGGCTCCTTAGATGTAGTTCAAAGTGGAAGGAGGGAGTAAGAGGAGATCTATAAGATGTATGTCACCCAGCAAAGGAATAGAAAATTTGTTTATCTTACTCAATTAAGAGTGTCCTTCTATAGCATTCAAATTCAAGTTTCTACTCAACATAATTGTGGTTAATGAACAGGACAGAGGGATGACCTGACATGTCTTCCTTTCTCTCTGTCTCCATCTCTATCTGTTTGTCTGTCTGCCTATCTATGTGTCTGTATCTATCCTGTCTATTTGTGTGTATTTGAGTTGTGTATGTGTATTATATCACCATATTCATACCCTTTACACACATATATCTATCTATGTACACAAAACACCCCCCTCCACACACAATCATGCAATGCATTCACACACACAGGCATGCACAAATACTTTATCCCACTTTGGAAAGTATATTTTAGCCTACAATGAATTACATTTTCATGTTATGTCTTTCATGCTGTCAGCTATGTGCCAGAGTTAGTACAAATGCTCTCTATTCTTCAAACAACCCTAGAAAAGTAAATATAATCAACTCCAATCTCATTTAAGAAACCAAAGCCTGAGACCAAGCTGTAGTGTTGCATGCCTTTAATCCCAGCACTCAGGAGGCAGAGGCAGGTGGATCTCTATGAGTCTGAGGTCAGTCTGGTCTACAGATAGATCAATTTGGCTTTTCCAGGAAAGTCAAGGATACAGAGAAACCGTATCTCAAAAAACCAAAAAGAAACTGAAACCTGAGTTCAGGAAATCACCTTCCCAAAGCAACACAAGAAGCAAATGGAAGGAAAGGGGTTCAGCGTCAGGCCTGTTTGATTCTAAAGTCCAGCTTCCCAAGAAAGGAGAGGAGGGGGAGGCATTTCAATTATCTGTAATGCTCCACACAGCTTCCTATTAGGGATTTAAACATGTTATTTAATCTCACGGTAATCCAATGAGATAAGCATCTGTAGTCTTGCTAGAGACATTTGAAACTGAGCTTTAGAAAGTTCAGAAATCTGGCTTAAGGTGGCTCAGCCCGTGCTGGAATGCCCTGGTCCCCAGTGCCCAGTCCAGCCAGCCTTTCAGCTTCCCGAAATGGGCAGTGAAGATTTTGAAGTGTACCTATGGGAAACCAATAGACAGAACACTGAACTACACATTTATGGTCTCATTTTGAAGAGCAAGGGGCTGCATTTGATGAGCTGTGAAGTGCTTTTATCCCTGGCTGTCTCCAATTTTTTAGTAATAGAGTTTTGAAATGCCAGTATTACTATTCTTTTGCAGTGCTGGGTGTGTTTCAAAGACGCATTAATGATCTCAATGTTATAAAATGCTTTAGGTCCTTTTTTCACATGAAAGGCAATTTCTCTGGATGTTTATGTAAGTTTATAATTAGGTTAGTTAACTTCTTTTATGCACACATAGCCATGCTATCATCCGCCACCTCTTGTCTGACTTTTGGAGTCAAGATTTCATTTTCTCTTAATTGACCTTCAACTTAATTAGGTTTCTGAAAGTCCAATCATGTAGTAAATAGAAAATATTTATGCTTCTATTGTATGAAACATCAAAGGGGTCCGGATTGTAGATGGTTTCCAAGATCAAAGCTAGCCGCCTGGGTCCTGTTATTATTGAAGCAATTAGTCTGACATTGCTCCCTCTTCACTGTCCCCAAAGTGAAATTTAGAAAGGAAAAATGATAATTTTCAAGAAAACTTTAATGAAAATATGAGCCAGTGATGAGTGATGAGTGAATCATAGAATATGGGCAGAGCCTACAGATTCTCAAAGAGTATCTTGGAATAGATTACATGGACACATTAAGTTCAATTAAACACCCAATATGCTCTAACCAAGAGGAACAAGAATGTGCCTGGCCCTGTAAAACTATTCAGCAAATACTAACTGAAGGTATAGATAGAAAACTCAAAATAAAACTCCCTGTTAATATTTTTCCAAACTCTAGAGATAAATGATGCACGTTGGCTACAAATCAGGAAAATATTCCAAGTTCACATTCCTCTGGGATCCCCTTTTTTATCCAAACTTCACAAATGGCATTTATATGAAATCAGTCACTGCACCAGAAATCCTGTTGAAGTAAGTCATGGTACCCAAATTTAGATGAGATTTCCTCCTAGATTAAATTAAAGAAATGCCTTATCACTGATAGAGATTATCCAGGAGCCCCTTCGTCACCTCATCTGAACCTCCATTCTTCTGTTTAACATGAGTTCTCTTCTGTTCCAAACCACAGGCTTCAGGATTAGGTCAGGCAATCAGGATGGCTAAGAAAACTGCTAGTGGGAGAAATTATCATAATGAACATACCCTAGATACCTCTAAAAAAAGCAATCTTAGCACTGATAACCTTCCCATTGCCACTCATTGATTCATTTACTCAGTTACCAACAGATGTTTGTTGCAGGACACATGAAGGCTGGCACAGTAAGAAAGGGAGACATAACAGTTTCACCCGTTGAGCTCACAGCAGATTCTGTAGCCTCTACTTTTTATTTCTCTCTAGTAACCTGCCTCTGTGGTAGGTCTATATCATTGCACAAAGCCAGTTTACGTGCAAAATCCATTTTGTAAGTGGTAGGAGGTCCTGGCACCTATAGAAAGTTAAACCATAGACCCAAAATCTTTGTCATTAAATAATCTTAGTGTAATTTGTGCAATGGGCAAGACTTTTGGCTTTCTATGTCTTATGTAGCCACAGATTTCTTTCAGATATCAACCACAGAGATACACTGTCTTTAAAAACTCTAGGTACACACTTAAAATTGCAGCTTCAATCATGCATTAAAATATGTCCCTAGGATAGTATGGATCACATAGTAAATGTTCAGTAAATTCAGGCTATTGGTTTAAGTCAGACTCTTCCTAGAGTGGACATCTTTCCTAGTTCTGGAGAAATTTCTAAAGGCTTATTCTAGATCTCCTTCCCTCTCCCTAATTGACATAAAAATCCTGCCATCTTCTGCCTCCCCATAGCTCTCTCTCTGGGTGGCTCATATTGTCCTCCTTTGCAACTTCTTTTTTCTTTCCATCTCTCTTTCACCCAACTCTGCATCTAGAACTAACTGGCTCACCCGATACAAATGGTGAGGGACATGTGACTTGAATATTTCCACAGTTCTTACACATGATATGTGTTGATTTACAGAAAGCAGAAGGAAGTCACTGAACAATAAATAGGCAAGCAAGACTGAAGTCGCCTTTTGGATATTCACATATGTACGGGTACCTACGAAGTCCGAAAGAAGGCATGTGGAGTTACACACAATTATAAGCTATCAGGTGTCTACTGAAAACCAAACTTGGAGTCCCTGGAAGAGCAGCAAGCATTATGTAACACTGAACAATCTCTGTAGCACCTAAACGTGTATTTTCACCAGACTGTACAGTACTTTGATTCAAAAGTCATATGATGAGGACATTTGAGGAAAATAACATCTCAATGTAGAGTAAGATCTTCTCTAGGTATCCGTGACAGCACCAACCCAGTATCTGTGTTGATCTTCCTTTTGCCAAGTAACATTTTTACTTATTTTTTGAGAATATCATAGAATATAGTTTATCATAGTTATTCTCCTCTCCCAGATCCTCCATCACTTCCCTACCCCAAACTCTCCAGTTTCATGTTCTCTACACCCTGCCTCTCTCATAGACATGAGGTATGAATATTCACTGACACAAAGCCAAAGACTTAAGACTCATAGGTCTAACACAGTAACTTTCTATCCACACACATGAAAGTAATAGTGGTAAAAACAAGTAATGTAACCACATTAGATGTTTAAAAGTGCTCTTTAAAAGTTTTCATATGATATTTGCCTTATGTATGTGTACAAGATAGGGAAGTATCATCATCTGCATTCATAGGCAATGGGCTAAGGAAAGAAGTGTCAATCTTAACAGTGGAGGCTCAACAGGAAATCAAGTCTACATCGTCTGACTCCTAACGTAGAAATAAATCAACTGTGTTAGTATATGTTTGCCATTTTTTCAGCACTCTGCAAATAGAAATCTATAACATTCACTTTTTAAGCTCACTTAAATAATATCTATTTTTTTAGGAAGAGTGTATTCCTGGGACTGGAGAGATGGGTTCTGTGGTTAAGAGCACTTTTTGTTCTTGAAGAGATCTGGGTTTGGTTCCCAGCACCCACAAAGCCATGAAAGTTTACAATCCTCCATAACTCCAGTTTCAGTGGATCTAATGCTCTCTCTAGCCTCCAAGGGCACCAGGCATGCAAGTAGTGCATATGCATACATGTGAGAAAAATGTTCATACACATAAAATACATAAATCTAAAAATGAAATGAAAGAACTCAAGCAAATATAGCAGATCAGAGAGATTCAGAACATGATTG